TCAATTGCCCTCTGTCGCCTCTTACAACACCCACGGAAACATATATGGTAGTGGGTATTCTTGCCTGCCACTACACGGGTATAAGCTATTGCGGCCAAAATAATAATAAATATCCAATTTCCTTTTTCAAAGCTTACTTACATTCATTATCATTACAGCTGTTCACAAGTCGACTGCCTTCCCATACTTGACTTTTGCCATAGTTGCCACGCTTATTTTATTAGCAACCGCAGTTTCTCTCTCTCTCTCTCTCTCTCTCTCTCTCTTTCTCTAGCTCTCTCTCTCTCGCGTACTCTCTTACGTTGAATTTAAATCGAAGGCAAGACATTCCAATACGTCCTCATGGGCGACAACGCATCTGCTTTTTAATTCTTAATCGAGGATAAAAATTTTAAGGACTTCTTACCATCAAGTGTGCAATCTGTGTGGTTTTTGTCACCCTTACTTCTATTTTTTCTTTCTCCCTTTCCCTCGTTCTCTAACTCACACAGTTTTTTTTTGTTTAGTTGTTTATGACTACATTGTAAAGTTTTGAAATAGTTTGATTTTGCTGATCTCTTGTCTACTTAAATTGTTATTCCTGATAAATCTTTCACTAGAGTCAGGGACTTTTCCTGATAAATTAAAACTTTCAATCGTAAAACCTTTATACAAAAAGGGAGATAAAAGTGATATAACCAACTATCGACCAATCGCACTAGTCCCAGTCCTCTCAAAAGTATTTGAAAAGGTGATGCATTACCAACTTACTTCCTTTTTTAGTAAATTTAAGGTGATAAAACAAAATCAGCATGGTTTCCAAAAAAATAAATCCACAACACATGCCTTGCAAAATTTTAATTCAAGAAACTATACAACTGTAGTATTTCTTGACATGTCGAAAGCCTTAGATCGCGTCTCACATGATCAGTTACTTATCAAACTAGAGGCTAACGGCATAAGGGGACCTGCTTTAAGTTGGCTAGAAAGCTATTTAAAAAATAGGTCACAGTGTGTAGAAATAACACAATTAAATTCTAAGAACATAGCTCGGGTATATAGATCGGAATTCAAAAACAACAATTTTGGTGTTCCCCAAGGTAGTATGCTCGGACCATTGTTGTTTATATTATACATAAATGATTTACCTGATATCTCCAACTACAAAACTACTTTATTTGCAGATGACATCCCGGTGACGATTACGACTAGTAAAAAAAGTACACTTGATCAACAAAAAGGGACATAGTTAAAACAATTAATTCAGTAAATAAATGGCTCAATAAAAATAATCTACACATTAATTTTAGTAAAACAAATATTATTAATTTTAATAACTTAAATTCTGACATAAATATTGAATATAATGGACAACTTCTGTGGAACGCTATTAGTACGACATTTCTAGGTTTAATTATAGACTCAAATTTAAATTGGAAAGAACATATCCATAAAGTAAGTAACAAAATTAACAGATTTGTAAACGTGTTACATATATTGACAAAAATAGCAAACAAAAAAAACACTGCGATCACAGCGTATTTTGCATATGTAGAATCTGTTATCAGATACGGACTTTTAATGTGGGGTAATGGCACAGACTGTCAAAAAGTATCTTTAGCTCAAAAGCGCTGTATTAGAGCTATAAGTAACAACCCATCGGACACATCATGCAATCCTTATTTTAAGAGTTTACCTGCCTCTATATATTTGAGGTTGGCAAATTTGTAAAGCAAAACAAGCACATGTTTTTACAAGCTAAAGATGTTACAAAATTAACTTACGGAACGCAGATAAACTAGTACTTGACACAATTCCAAAAAGTAAGCGCTTTCAAAAAATAGCTATGCAATGTGTAACACTATTTATAATAAAATACCCTCACATATTAAGCAATTACCATACCACAAGTTTAAAATTTCATTACGACGATGGCTGGTAGAGAAAACATTTTACACAATAAATGAGTTTTTAAATTGTAGTGATTAAGTTGTCGATGCACGAATTAATTTATTTATATTAATTTATTTATTTATAAAATTTGTAAAAGGATGTTTTTAGTTATGTGTTTTAGATTAAGTTTAGAAACTAATTATCTTATAAAAACTTTTGGACATTAATTTGCATGCTGTTGAAAACAGCTAAATAGGTTTTCTCAACACATTGTTTTATAACACCAAGAACAAAATATTTTTGTACCTATTTACTAGCAAATAAAGAATTTGAATTTGAATTTAAAGTTTACTTTTTTTATAGTTTTTAGGGTTTAAGTAATTCCAACTTAGGTAATTTTGTAACATTGCATATGTACTAAGTCCTCGGTCACATCTCTATCTTTGTTAATTTATCCTATAAATTATAGGAGGCTAGTGGTGTTGGCTTCACTAAATTTAAATTTAGGATTAAGATTAGTTCTTAACAATTTCATTGTCCGGTTTTCAGACACAATAGTGAGACAATAGTAATGACCTATATGTAGTGTACGGGACAGCGGAAGGGTTAATCTTATTCGAACTTGTTTACTGGTCCTTAAATAATATTAAAAAAAACTCTCTTTAACTCATATCGTTGAGTTTAAATTGAAGGCAAGGATTCCACCTTAGTTCCCAGGGTTCATCGCATCTGCATTTTGATACTTAATCGAGGATCAAATGGGCCACTTACCATTAAGTATTCTATGTGGCCGTTATCACACTGACGTTTATAACAAACTCAGCGTCTTCATTGACTAAGAACCGTAAGAACAATTTAGAAACAAAAACAGCAGTCGAATTGTGGATATCCTCCTTCTTTGAAGTCTGCTCAAATTAACTAAGAAGATCTTTGTAATTTGAGAAGACATTCTTATTAGTATTTAGTCAACAATGTTTATTTATGAAATAAAGGTATTTTTATAGAACGAACAAGCACACACGCCACTTGATAGTAAGAGGATGTTGAGGATGCATCATCATGAGGATTAAGATGAATGCCTCGTCACCAATTCTCGTTAGACCGCGTTCCGACGACACTCACCCGCTACGCGCACGCCACGCGCGCAAGCACCCGCGCCTAACTCGCTTTGAAATGCATATTAATTTGAGTCTTATATATTGGCAAATCAATAAATCTGAAATTGCAAATATATATATAGAATATTATAGTGGTTACAAAGAATATATATATATATATATATATATATATATATATATATATATATATATATATATATATATATATATATATATGTGTGTGTGTGTTCTTTGTAACCACCTTCGTAGTTTTATAACTGCCCTGAGGTTGACTGGCAGAGAATGCTTTTAGCATTAAGTCCGCTTTTTGGTCCTGTAGGTACTTATGTGAGGTTCAATAAAGTTTAAATAAAAATAAAGTGAGTTTCTTAAAGACGAGAAGATTTGATATAATCACCACGCTTTAGCGTTCCTTGCGATGCTTCCTTCGTTCTTCTGGCCAAAGGTACGTTTCAGAAATGCGCGAATCAGTATGTATATTTCGAAAATTGTACTTAGCTCGTAAGCTAAGCAAACTAATCGGTGAAAACAGCCGAAACCCAAAAAAGAGCGGAAACTCTAAAATTTGAATCCAGTATTTTTAAAAAGTGTCGTGTGGTGGCGTCGTAAGACAATCCATCACCCATTTTGTCCCGTGGGTGTCGTAAGAGACTGCTATGGGATGTGACAGAACGATCTTATAGCATCCAATATATGGCGGTATATCTATCTGATTTACGCCAAGTAAAATATCTCGACTGGCTATGAGGAACAGCGATAACGGTGCGAGACGCCTCGTACTGCAAACAGAAGTCCATGTCCAGCGGTGGTCTTCACGTGATAATAAAGAAGAAAGAGAAGTAGATATATTTTTTAATTCTTTTTTATTTAAGGGACTTTCGTTATTATTAACATGTCAGTCCCATTGTACCTTATAACTAAATAGCACAAAAAATACTATATTACTTATACAATACTTAATAAATGATAAACCATTTGAGCAGCATCTGAAAGTGGTTCAGAGAGTATACTTTGATATTTCCCTATGTTGTACATTTTAATGTCAGTTTTGGCGACCAGTAGTTTCCTCTCGTGATGGTTTTTAGAACATTCCGCGAACAGGTGTTGTATGTCTTCGATTGTGTTGCATGTTTCGCAATTTGGAGATTGTTTTTTTTTTCATCATGAAAGCAAACTTGTTGCACGGAATGTGTCCTGAGCGAAGTCGCATTGCTAATAGAAGTAGATATATCATCTGTCTTCATTTCGTCCATCTGCAGCACCGCTTGCGATTTTTAATTTAAAAAAATATTCGGTATTTTTATTGCTGGTAACTAATACTTGTCGAAATTGATTACAACTGCAAATTACTAAAAAAAACGCGAATGGTATAGTTAATAATATAATATATTATTTAGAATAACTCAACTTTTTCTTATACTCGTAAAGTAAAAATATTTACACTAAATACAACTATATTTCTTTCACAAAAATCCAATTTCCGTAATGCATTATAATAAGCTCGAACATTTGACTTTCAACAAAAAAGAGATCCCTTTGGTTAACAATGTCTTTATTAATTCATATTTAGCTACTCGTACGAAGAAAGATATCACTTAAAAAGTCTTTCAGAGTGATTGCAACAAATGCATAATGTTGTTCCACTGGGTTATGCTTTTTTTTATAAAAAGTAAGAACACCTTGTAACTTCAACTAAGATATTAATATAAAATAACATCATCTCATAATCGATACAGATTAATTTATCATAGTACAACCAAACCTCAGTCGTCCCCGTGTCCGAAAGTATTCGAAACGTCTGGAATATAAGTTGATTAAACACGACAATATCCATAAATAATGGAGTTACAGTTGTTCATGAGCGGCAGTTGACACTTGACATCAGGTGAGCCGTATGCTCGTTAGGCCCCTCTTCTATAAAAAATGAATTACTCGGTGAGGGATTTTAGTAGGGGTGAGTCCGACGCAATGTCCGATGTGTCCACTTGGAGGCAGCTGTAAGGTAAGCAGTCAGGGCAGCAGGTGGTGGTGGCGCAGGTCGCGGAAGCGGTCGGGCAGGCGGCGGCCGAGCGTGTCGGGCACCAGCCGCGTCAGCGCCGCGCTCACCAGCGGCAGCGCGCCCAGCAGCGTCGCCGGCACCCACGACCCGTACACAGCCTGCCCCCACATCGCTCACATTAGCTCTTTTTTTATATGATAAGGGTGACAAACGAGCACACAGTCCACCTGACGGTAAGTGGTTGCTGCGGCCCATAGACATCTACATCTATCCTCTATTACAAATCTAAATGCAGATGCGTTGTCACCCGTGAGGACTAAGATGGAATGCGTCATTCCAGTAAAAAAGGTCTCCGGTTCTCTACACTCACCTGCTTAAGTTAAGCTGCTATTTTACGTTGGTATTCTGTGAGAGCGTAGTCCTTCCCCGGTCGAGCCGACCCATTCGTGCTACAACTATACTACTAATATAGCTGCAGCGTGGCTCTACCACGTAAATAAGCTCTTTAACTCTTTAGCCTGTACTGCTCAGTGGGACTGACTCCATCGTATGGTAAAAGTTTTTTTTTATATAGAATAACGGTGATAAACGAGCACACAACTTACCTAATGGTCAGTGGATGCTGTGACTCATACATATCTACATTTATCCTCGATTGAGAGTAAAAACGCAGATGTCACCATTATTGCGTTTTTTTTTTATAGAATAAGGGTGACAAACGAGCAAACAGTCCACCTGATGGTAAGTGGTTGCTGCGGCCCATAGACATCTACATCTATCCTCTGTTACAAATCAAAATGTAGATGCGTTGTCACCCGTGAGGACTAAGATGGAATGCCTCATTTCCACTAAAAAGGGCCTCCGGCCACCTGCACTCACCAAGCGAAACGCAGAGGTAAACCTCTACTTCACGCTGGTTTTCTGTGAGGTCGTGGTACTACCCCGCTTCGAGCCGGCCCATCCGTGCGACAGCAAAAGCTGCCGCGTGGCTCTACCACTGTTAAAATGCGTGGAACCCTAATTCTTTTTTTTAATTAAAATATCCCTAATCACTCATAACATTAGTTATCTGCCAGTGAAAGTCCCTACTCTAGCTGGGCACGAGAAACCACCTTGTGGCCGTTAATACTTGATGCGCGGGAGAATATATTAAAATGTATCTTAAGTTAGAGGAATTAAATTTACTTACCGAGAAGCTCGTACTCACAATCACTAATTGGCGTTAATTCCACATATTGTGATGAGAAATGTTGTAGGTGTTACTGTATGTCTGTGATAGTGTATAGTCGAAAAACACTAGCGATTATAAACTTTAAAACTAATTATACTAATAATGCGGTAAAAGCACAACACGGTGCAACAGCGGGCTCGGATTAGCGAAGACTCATATTAAACTAATGGCCCTTCCTTTTGAAGGTGAAGTGACAATTTTTACTTACACTACCGCCATCTATGGTAAATATTGGGAGATAATTTCGGACGCATGTTCGGCGTGACTAATCCCGTCAAAATCGGTCCAGCCATTTTGGAGATTAATAGCAGTAAGCAGACAGTAGACAGACAGACAAACATTTTAAAAATTATTTTTTGTTATAAGTACCGTATATATTTTCATATGCATTTAGTAAATATCTGTTATTATGTAATTACAAACAGACGCATCAATTTTATTTATTTGTATGGTTCAACTAAAAAATAACCAGCGCCAACTACTATCCCACATGGTGAAACATACTGACTTAACAAAAGCCTTTCACTCTTGCCTTGAAGACACCGACGTTGTTATCGGATGGAAAAACAGATGCACGCAACTTATTCCATTCCTTATTCCATTCCACAACTAATTTCAGCAAACATTTCGTTGTACGCATGACGAACGATGTAGCAAACCGTTTGGTCCGAGTGCGTGAAAAGTATCACTTACATTAGCTCAATACCTTTTCATGACGTAATGCCCGGGCTACACTAACGAGAACTGCCGTTAATTATCGCGTTGATGGGCGTTGAATGTAGGTGTGGCCACCACTTAACGCGATAATTTTTCAACTTGAAGCGGCCACACTACGTTTGTCTCATTGCGCACGGTGAGCTCAACGAGATCGCACGTATGGCTATGGAGTGGAACAATGAAAAAATTCTTACGTTTAAGTTTCTGCAAACATAGCTACATTTGTGGGATCCGAGACTCAAAAGTTTTAAGAATCGTACATCAAAAATTGATACTAACTACACTCTGTGAACGGGCTATCACCTACTAAAGTGAGTGTGTGGTGCTTACTAGCAGCGGATTGAATGGTGCGAAGATGGCGCCGAGGCAGCTAGCTTCTCCATTCCCTACTACACCGTGTATGGAAGTAAAGACGTGGTCGTGCTCACCAGTCTCGGTGTTGTGACTCTGAAGCAGCTAACGTTTCCAATCCTTACTTCACTCTGTAAACAGACTGTGTCTTACAGAAACAAGGGTGTGATGCTCACCAGCAGCGGCGAGAGTGGTGCGAGGATGGCGCCGAGGCGGCCGCAGGTGGAGCAGGCGGCCAGCAGGCGCTGGCGCGCGCGCGTGGGGAACAGCTCCGCGGTGTACACGTACAGCACGTTCAGCGACATCGTGGCGCCCACCTTACCCGTCAGGAACAGCGCTGTTCCACCCACGCCATTTGCTGCGAGGTTACGTTATTTATTTTATATTTGTTTTGAAGTCACTATCTTAGTGCTAGCAGTGCTGCTTGCCTATCAGAATTTTAGTATATAACATTGTTGACGTAATGTTTTTGCACATTGATCTGTGCACAGCGAAATATAGCGTAACATTCTGGTCCAAAGATGGAGACGGATTTTCCCAAATTTATACTAAGTTTAAATTTTTGTCTTTCCTTGTAAATTCCAAACTCTAGGAAGCCCATTTTTGATCCATCGGTAATCCATATAAGGCTGTCGATAACAGGTGATCTGTCCATTCAAGCAGTCTTCTGGGAGGTAGTTCAATAAGACATTGCTTCTTGCTAAATTTCATGATTATAGGTTGACATGAGATACTCTATAAGTTTTGATTAGTGAGCTTGCGAATATAAAAATACGTGACATGATATCTTTGATTGCGTTGATCCTAGAAGCTTGAACTTTCACACCTTCAAGGGACCGTAGACCTTAATTATGTTCTTAATCTCAACTTGATACTTCTCCCCGTTTCTGAGAAAAAGAGTTTTGACAAAAAGGTGGACAGACAGATCATATGTTCCGTTTTGATGTGAATACGTCTTAAAATTTGCTTCGATAGAGGGAGACATTTCAAGAAACTGATGATAACAAAAAAGGGGGATAAAATTGGGAGTTGTAACTACATATTTATCATCGACAAAATTAATTTACATCACTCAATAGCTAAAGGATCAAAGAATTCGTTGCGTTATATTAGAACTGTGACAGCGCCGCCATTTTTAGGTCATTTCACTGCAAGTATTCACGTAAAACACACGGTCGTGTAAACGACACAGCCACATCCCAATTTTTTTCTTTGAAGTAAGCAACGCTAAAAAAGTGTGTCTCACGGTCGGGCAGCAGCGGGGTGGTGATGAGCGCGGCAGCGGTGAGCAGCAGCGCGGCGGTCAGTAGCGGGCGGCGGCCGGCGCGGTCCAGCAGCAGCGTGTTGAGCAGCAGCGCCGGCACCTCCGCGGCACTCAGCAGAGCGTAGTTTGCGTGTGCACTGCCCGATAGTAAGTGCGCGTGCACCGCCAGCCCGTAGAACACGAACACCGCCGACGCCCACCAAACGAAGCATGTTAACAGCCGCCGCCGCAGCTCGCCGTACCTGATGACAACGTCCATAGAATAAGGGTGTCAAACTAGCATACAGTTCACCTGATAGACATCTACATCTATCGTTGATTAAAAATCAAAATGCAGATGTTTTGTCACCCCTGAGCCCTGAGGACAATGATAGAATGTCTCGTTCCCAGTATAAAGGATTTCCGGTTCTGTACACTTACCATACAAAACACATAAGAGCATTAACCTGCTATTTTGATAAGCTGGTATTCTGTGAGAGGGTGATCCTTCCCCGGTCGAGCCGACCCCTTCATTTTTACCAATCCATCATCTTTATATTCCATACCATAACTGAGTCTCTTCTTACCACATGGGATATAATGCAGTAATGGATCTCTATTACTCACATGCAGTGCGCATAAAATATGCAACTCAAGAGTGCAGTGATCCGACTGAAATAAATTAATAGTAGTAAGTCGATGTGGAATGAATGAACGAATGAATGAATGAATGAATGAACCGATGGGGAAGAAAGGTTCTCGAGTGGCAGCCTCGTACCGGCAGGCAAAGTGTAGGGCACCCCCCCACTAGATGGAGTGACAACCTGGTAAGATATGCAGGAAGTCGATGGATGCAGGTGGCTCACGAACGTGCTTGGTGGCATTCTTTGGGGGAGGCCTATGTTCAGCAGTGGACTTGTGACAGCCCTTCATGATGAGTTAATGATGATGATGATGAAGTCGATGTGTCGAAGTTCGTCTTTGAGTTTTTTTTTCTGTACCATAGAGACAGTTAACGTACATAAATTTTACAAGGGCAAACATCCTGACCCTGAGCATTTCTTCATAGGCCATATAATTACTTTTTCCGCCTGTGGTTCCTTTTAACATAGGTAACACTGGTGGTCAGTGACTCATTTTAACACTGGTAGAGCTACGCGGCAGCTTTTGCTGTCGCACGGATAGCTCGGCTCGAACTGGGGTGGTACCACGAGCTCACAGAATACCAGCATAAAGGATAAGTTTACTTCACTTCAAGTTTACTTGCTTGGTGGTACTTCAGGGAATGGAATTATTTATTCCATCATCTGTAATGCCTATCGAAGGCAGATCTCAGCCATGGTTTAGTCGCTCCTGTAAATTTGCATCACGCTATAAGCAAAAGTGCTACCGAGCCTGGGCTGAAGCATCAACGTACCGGGATATAAACACTTCTGCCGAAAGCCGATCTGCTAGGCTCTCTTTTTGCTTCCAACTCGACTCTAGATGACGGAGGAAACATACCGCCGACAATCCCGCGGTGTGAGTGCTCCATGCAGGAAGTGCTGCTTACACAGCACTCAGTGCGTAAAGCACTCCTCTCCTTGGACGTCAACAAGTCCGACGAGTGGTCCTAATGGAGTCCCACCTATTGTGCTGAAGACGTGTGCTCCGAAGTTGGTACCGGTTTTAACAAGTCTTTTCGGGTACTCCTACTCCCTGGGCGTAGTCCCAAACTCATGGAAGACAGCTTTGGTCCACCCGATCCCTAAAAAAGGCGACCGGTCAGACCCGTCAAAATACAGGCCTATCGCTATCACCAGCTGATTAGTGACCGCCAGTGAAGTTTCCGAAGAGGTTGCTCAGGTGGTGATCTTCTAGGTTACCTAACTCATAGATGGGTGGCTGCAGTAGAGTCCAAGAGGGAGGCGTAGGCCGTTAGCTTGGACATTGCGAAGGCTTTCGATCGGGTTCGGCACAAAGCAATTCTTTCTAAGCTCCCTTCCTAACGGCTTCCCAAGAAATTTTGCAATTGAATCACCAGTTTTTTTGCAGATCGGAGCATCAAGATCGTAGTAGACGGTGCATGCTTCGGTTACAAGCCCATTAACGCTGGTGTTCCACAAGGCTGCGTGCTATCACCAACGCTGTTTCTTCTGCATATCAATTATATGTTGAAAACTGGTAACGTTTATTGCTATGCGGATGACAGCACTAGTGATGTTTTATACACCGGCCGTGCCAATATTTCTCGGGAAAACGTCGCCGAGTACCGGGATAAACTTGTTTCTGAAGTCGAGACTTTGTTGAACAAAGTCTCAGAATGGGGGCGACTAAATCTAGTCACGTTTAATCCTCAGAAGACACAAGTTTGCGCGTTTACCGCTAAAAAGAACCCCTTTGTCGTATCTCCTCAGTTTTAAGCCACTCCCCTTGTTGCCTCAACCAGTATCGAAATCCTCAGTATCGACATATCCTCAGTATAGAGTGACGTGCAGTTTCGTGGTCACTTGGAAGGGAAGGCCAAATTGGCCTCTAAAAAGCTTGGCGTGCTCAGCAGAGCAATACAGTATTTCATGCCGGCACATCGCTTGCAACTTTACAAGGCGCAAGCTCGGCCTCACATTTATCGCATTTATTTTATCAAATTTAATTTTTTAATGTCCAAGGTTAAACATAGGCTACACCACTCCCAGCATTATACTCTATCTGTTTGTGAAGTTTCTTTACAATCAGTTCAGCCATGCCAAAGATAATCCTAGAAAGACAGACAGGCAGAAATTTTAAAAAGGGTTATTGATGTCTTAGTAATACGCAAATATAGCTAACTAATAAAGCTAACTCGCCAGTCATTTCAATATTGCAGCACGTCATTTTTATCTATATTTATTATAGATAATATATGAAAATAAATTAAAATAAACTTACTTCACAAAAGCTCTAAATATGCTCTCTTCTTCCTCTTCGTCGTCTACTTCACTCTTGTCCAGCACGGGCTCGGACTTCGATGCGAGCGCCTTGTCAATCGCGTCTTCCGGCAAAGCGACCCTGTTGCATCGCGCCGCTTGTTTTATCACTTTCGCGGCTTGAGTCAACTTGCCGTTTGCTACCAGCCATCTCACACTCTCTGGCAGAAGCCAGGGATACAGCAGGAGCAGGAAGGAGGGTGGGTAGGCCACCCGCGCCCAAAGCCTCCAATACCCAGTCAGATAGTCAAGAAGCGCCAGAGTAGCAGCACCGGCAGATAGCGGTATGCCGAGAAGCAAACTTGCTAGGATACGCTGTTCTACTCCTAGCCACTCGATCACTGTAATGATATTTATTTGTTTATTTTATTAGGATCACCAACAGAAATAACAACAGTATTAGATGTAATATGTACATAATCTTTGAACACTCATGAAAATTGTACGTACTTCTTTTTAAAGGTTCCTTTAAAAGAACCAAATTAATGTATGTTTTGATATGCATTAATTTTCTTTAATGACACTTAGTGTGAAAAAAAGAAAAATTTAATATAATTAGGGTTGTTAAATTTAAAAAATAAATTATGTTTATAAAAAAATATTATATTGACCAACATTCTAACATTCTATTGCAATAAAAAAATATAACAAGTATGTGTATAATAATTAATTAATTGATTTCATCAGGCGTTGCTTTGTCAAAATTTAGGTATAATAAATTAAAGAGGTTAGAGATAATTTAGTTAAGGTTTATGTGAGAATGGTAAGAAAGAAGGTATTCTTCAAACTAGGTAATTTTATTTTTAACCAACTTCAAAAAAGAAGGAGGTACTCAATTCGACTGCATTTCGGTGAACTGGTTTTGATGATTCTTTTTTTATTTGAAAGCTGGTGCTTTTCATAGTACCATCATACAAATTTATCAATATCTAACTAGTACTTTTTGAGTTATTAGTAATTAATAATGCGTATTTAATTGTCTTCGACAACATTGATTATATTCTCATTATATTTATATTGAAGTATTTTAACACTTGTTTAGGCAGATCTTAGTAAAATAATTTTAACATCTAATTACTGTCGAATACCAACACCTGTCTTTCCATTTAATTACAGCGTGTGTTATCCAAGTGAGTAAGTAGTGTTTTGTGAACTTCAGTGCAATTTATCATCTAGGTATACATCCCCTTCCATCTTCGTCATCAGAGGTAGCAACGCTTCTGCTTATTGATTATTTATGGATGATATAGGTGACTGTGGGTCATAGCACCCAGCATAAGGTAAACTCTGTGCTCATCGCTCATTGGCACACAAACGTCTATAAGAAAATAGGTATGTTCTATTTATTGCAGCAAAACGTAGACTTATTGTGATTAAACTATTCAGACTAAGTAAATTTGTATTACCCGAGTTCAAAGAAATTCAGAAGCCTAAATATGAAATAAATATTCATTGAATACTCATACATTTTAAGGAGGGGGGGGGGGGGGGAGATTTTGACGCTTAACCTGGAAAACCATTTTCCATTGGTACGTTACTGACCAACGTAAATGCGCCAACGCGCACATTAACATTTTAAAGTTGATGTATCTTATTGGTTAGGTTGGCTTACATATCGTGTATAGTGGTAAAGTAAAAAATGACTTTCAATAAGAATTACACATGTAATGTATATTGAATAAAAAATATTCTATTATATTCTATTCTATTCTATTCTATTCTATTCTATTCTATTCTATTCTATCACTATCTTTCCTTTTTCGGCACATGGCCCAGTGTGGCATAGATGTCCTTTCTTGTTAGCTAATTCCCAATTGTACTAAATATATTTAAACTTACTGAGCACAAACGCTGCGGGGTAAACACTCGCGCCTAACACAGTCTCGAAGAACTCGCCCAGTACATACGCAGTATAGGAGCCAGCGAAGGACTTGACCAAACCCAGCAGGCCAGCACCGCATCCGCTCACCACCAGCGCCGCGCGGCGGCCCCATCTGCAACCACACATGTTACTGGCCCCCCTAAAACATCATTTTCGTAACAGTGTCTTCATCAACATCATCATTACAGCCCAGCACAAGTCCACTGTTGAACATCGGACTCCTCCAAAGAATGCCACAAAGCGCGATAGTAGAGGATTATCCAAATAAGTAATTTTGGCTCGACCCGAACACAGGCAACCCACCAATACCCATTAGTGGAACGTAATGGCGTAGTGGCTTAACAATTACTTGCAGCGCTAAGGGTCGCGGGTTCGAATCCCACACGGCACAAGTATTTGTATGGCATACAAATAATTGTTCCGGGTCTGGATGTTTATTTATCCTTGTGAAACTTATGTATGTAAACTGCCCCCACGATACTGGAGAAAATCCTAGTGTAGAGGTTTAAAAAAAGAATAATCAAGAAAAAGAATTACAGCTATAGATATATATTTTTATTAAAGATGTTAAAAATTTATTATCTACCATCCGAGTAATCTTACCTATCTAATATAATGAATTTCTGAACGTCCGATTCTATTGCTTATATTTTTTTAATTATTTTAAGCCAGTGCCTGATTACAATTCTACCTGGTGGTAAGCGGCGATGAAGACCTAGACAATCCACGATCTTAGCGTAACAAGCCTATTCACTCTTGCCTTGAAGACACTCGGATTGTAATCGGACGAAAGTAGTAGGGATTCCATCGACAGATACCGGCAAATTATACCACTCGTTTGCTGAACGGGTTACTAAAGATGAAACAAACCATTTGGTTCTGTGAAATGGTTATGTGAAAACCACAGGCTGGTTTTCCGCTGACAGAAAGCGAAAGGAGGAGTCAAATTATGTGACTTTTGCACATACTCCGGAATGTATCCGATAGAACATATTATTTCTATATAAGGTATAATTACCCTAGATTATAGTTTAATTGTTGATGGGTTTAGCGTTTAATTATCCTTCTCTATCTTCACATTGTATAAAATATTATATTGTAAACTAATACATAAAAAAAATCCGTTGAGTTTCTTTCTGGTTCTTCCTAGGAAAAAGGATTTTTTCCGAACAAGTAGTAAAACTAATACGACTTTCAATAAATATTCGTAATCTAAATTGAATAAAAATAATTCTATTCTATTAAATTATTCAAATACTATAAATATCAATGTAAAGGAGTTGTTACATATTTGTCCTTCTAATGTTTCGCATAGAAGTCGATTATTATTGATAAAATTTAATTAAATTTTTACGTGGTGGAGTCACGCTGCAGCTACGTTATGGTTGTAGCACGAATGTGTCAGCTCGACTGGGGAAGGACCACGGTCTCAACGAATACCGAATTGAGTGTAGAGAACCGGAGACCTTTTTTTACTAGAAACGAGGCATTCCATCATAGTCTTCAGGAGTGACAACGTATCGGCATTTTGATTCTTAATCGAGGATAGATGTTGATGTCTATGGGCCAAATCATCCACTTACTAATCTGAGACTTTGTTTGACAAAAACTCGACGTCAGACAAAGGTTTGTTGTAATTGTAAAAATCATCGCCGGTGCAGTTACCTTCAGAGCAATGAGTGTCACTATACCTGTCGGACACATATCCCATGATGGGCAAAGAGACAAGCATGCCCACGTTGTGCACGGTGCCCACCATTGCGCGCTTGCCCTCCTGACATGCCAGGTTGAACTGGAGAGAACGTGCAAACCAATGTCAAACTTATGGTAATGCTAGTAATAATAAGAAAAAACCTAAAATATTTAACTCTGCTGTTCTACAAGTAAAATAAAGCTAAGCTCCTTTTAAACGTTAATTTATATCTATATTATAGCCTTTCATAAGTCCACTGCTGAACATAGGCCTGCTCCAAGGAATGCCACAAAGCACGGTCCTGAGCCACCTGCATCCATCGACTTCCTGCATGTCTTACCAGGTCGTCACTCCATCTCGTGGGGGTTCGGCTTACACTTCGCCTACCGGTACGAGGCTGCCACTCAAGAACCTTTCTTCCCCATCGGTTGTCGGTTCTTCGAGCTATATGGCCGGTCCACTGCCACTTCAGCTTACTAATCCGTTGGGCTATCTCGGTTACTCTGGTTCTACTGCGGATATCCTCATTTCTAAGTTTATCACGCAGAGAAACTCCGAGCATAGCCCTCTCCATAGCTCGCTGAGCGACCTTGAGCTTCCTCATACGGCCAGCAGTGAAGCTAAAGAAAAAGTGCTTGGTGCTAAAGAAAGTGTTTCAAATTAGCAAGCCAAATATTGATCATGCCAGAAAGTTTATGTTTGCACACTCAAAATTATTCAAGTTTCAAGTTATTACAATACGCCAATATGCTATTTATTTTGCACAGGCCCTATACCTTTAACGTGGTAGAGCCAAGCTGCAGCTATAATAATTAAGCTAAACACTTACTTAAGTAATAATTGGTCATTGTGAGAGATCGGGACCTGGATAGGACAACCTGTACTAGAACATCCTGTGTTACAGATTTACGACACCCTACAGTCGGCCTATTACGGATTTGTCACATTTTAACTTATAAAGGTAACACGTTTCAAAAGAAGTTAGTTAAGTACATAAAAGTGTGTGTGTGTGTGTGTGTGTGTGTGTGTGCGTGCATGCGTACGTGCGGGCGTGCGTTCGTGGGTGCGTGCGTGCGTACGTGCGTGCGTGCTTACGTGCATGCATGCGTGAGTTCGTGCATGGGTGCATACGTGCGTGCGTGCGTGCCCACGTGTGTGCGTGCGTGCGTGCGTGCGTACATGCGTGCGTACGTGCGTGCGTGCGTGCTTGCGTGCGTGAGTACGTGCATGGGTGCAAATTTACGTGCGTGCGTGTTGCGTAAGTGCTTGCGTGCGTGCGTGCGTGTGTGCGTGCGTGCGTACGTGCGTGCGTGCGTGCTTGCGTGCGTGAGTACGTGCATGGGTGCAAATTTACGTGCGTGCGTGTTGCGTAAGTGCTTGCGTGCGTGCGTGCGTGTGTGCGTGCGTGTGTACGTGCGTGTGTGCGTGCGTGCGTGCGGGCTAGACTGCATGCGTGTGTGACTGCGTGCGTGGGTGCGTGCGTGTACGCGTGCGTGCGAGCGTGCGTGCGTGCATCCGGGCGTGCGTGGAAGCGTGCATGCGTGCGTACGTACGTGCGTGCTTAGAGCGTGCGTGCGTGCGTGCGTGCGTTATGTGTGTGTGTGTGTGTTAGTGTGTGTGTGTGTGTGTTTGTGTGTGTGGTACGTGCGTCTGCATGTGATTGTTTCTAACATAGTTTCAGTTTCGTCATAAGATTCTAATGTTCATTAAAAGTTTATATTCTTTTCGTGTTTTAGATTTACTTTATTGTATTAATGCTATGATATAGTTGAAGCACGCATAGGTCGGCTCGACCGGGGTAGGACCACGTTCTCACAGAATACCATCTTAAAATAGCATCGTAATGCTTCTGTGTTTCGTATGGTGAATGTAGAGACCCGGAGACCCTGTTTACTGGAATCGAGGCATTCCATCTTAGTCCTCTGGGGTAACAACACATCTGCATTTTGATTCTTTATGTAGATGTACATAGGTACGTATATAGGCCACATGTACATGTGTTCGTTTAACACCCTTATTCTATAAAAAAGACACCTAGGTTTAATTATAAGCCTATCCCATCAGCAGTCAACGCTTGTAGATTGATGCTTACATTATTCCGGTCTGAGTGAATACCTGTTACTCTGGAACGTGGACATTAACAGCTACAACACAGTTTATTACTATAATCGTGTACTTGTGTATACAGGGTTATTTTGCATTAACCAGCCAAAACAGTAGAGGTTCAGAATAAGCGATATAGGCAAATAATGAAGCAAATATAATTAAAAAAAATCTCATACATTCTTTTCTTTTTATCTTTTAAATTCAAAATGCGTGGTAATGCATTACTTTAACTGATTTTACTGCGCACGCACACATTCGTAAGGGTCGATTAGTAGGCAAAAACATTTGTTACCCTTGAATCACATTCAATTTTTGATAATTTTAAATGAAAAAAGAAGCTTTATTTACTCGTATTTTCAAAAACTGCAATAACGGTATATCATTACTTGTATATTTGTACTTAAGTTTGAAATTTGGTTGCTCTTTGAAAAATAACCCTGTTATATGTCTATTGTACGTTTGAATAAAACTGTTTCATTTTATTTCATTTTATCTCAGACAAAATACACTTTTTTTATTTTGCCTGAGCATTTTATAGGATGGTTAAACCACCAATTTTCTCAATCCTTACTTAGTAATAAATAAAACATGTTTGGCGACCACACGTGTGCACTTGAAATGGGCACCGGGAGAATATCAACGCTGTGGTTACTACACCGCGGCACAATGCTGAGTCGGATGCCTATTTGTTGCTGCATTAATGTTGATGTGATATAATATCTAATATAATTATAATTATTTATAAATTAGCTTGAAACAAAGATGTTTCTTTCTTTCATCTATCCGAAGCTAGTAGATATTTAGAAGCCAGTAGGCATTTCTGACAGTAGTATCTTATGTCACACACGGGAAGAGATAATGTAATTGATTCTTCACCACGCAATAGACTATCATAACACTACATCAAGACTAGTAACACAGTTACCAACACAGTTCTTACCTCAGACACAATACTCCGCCGCTCCATGTAGACAAAGTCCTCGCACCGGATGTTGCTGGTGTTGTCGAAGGAACCCTCGTCGCAGGTGTCGGAGACCGATGGGTGGCGCGCGCAAGCATCGTCAGGTGGTAAGGCATAGCTCGTCCAAGCCGGAGACCAGGTCTCCGGTGACACCGTGCGCAAGGTGTCGTTGTCTTCACACTCTGATATGTGACATCTGGAAACAAATTCGTATTCAATTTCTGTAATATTTAGTCCCATAAATAATTTAAAAAATTACTTGTCTCTGGTGTTGTGTTTTTTTTAAGTTTTTCAAAACGTTACCCCCACACTAGGATTTTCTCCTGTATCGTGGAGGCAGTTTACAAACACAAATTGCACAAGAACAAACATCCAGAACCGGAACAATTAATTGTAGGCCATACAAATACTTGTTCCGTGCGGGATTCGAACCCGCAGCCCCCAGCACAGTAATTCATTGCTAAGCCACTGCGCCACGGAGCCGTCAATTTTTATATAATAAGGTTGACAAACGAACCCCGTCCACCTGATAGTAAGTGGTTGCTGTGGCCCATAGACATCTACATTTATCCTCGATTGAGAATCAAAATACTAATGCGTTTTTACCCCTGAGGACTAAGATGAAATGCCTCGTTCCCAGTAAAAAGAGTCTGCGGTCCTTCACAATCACCATACGAATTTAACAGCATTTATTTTTAATTTGTTCGCTGCTATTTTACGTTGGTAATCTGTGAGAGCGTGGTCCTTTTCCGTGGAGCCAACCCATTCATGCTACAACATAATATTATAATAGCAGCGTGGCTCTACCACGTATAAAAATGTCATTATTGTTATTAATGTTGTTATATATTAAATTGTTATCACTTAAACCAAATAGAAACGCGTGCATTGTGTTCCGGTCTGCAGTTTATAGAGAGCTAGTTTAGTTAACATACTGAGAGGTATTCCATCTTAGTCTATACAAATAAATAAAATTGAAGTGTCCTGTTTTTAATGTCAAAATAACAGTTTTTTACTAAATACATATGAAATTATATGCGGTACTTATAACAAAAACACAATTTTAAAATTTTTGTCTGTCTATTTGCTTGTTTCGGCTAATCTCTCAAACGGCTGGATCGATTTCTACGGGACTTTCACTGGCAGATAGCTGATGTTATAAGGAGTAACCTAGGCTACTTTTATTTTAGCAAAATAAAAAAAAAATTAAAGTCCTATACTACACGGGGGCGAAGTCGCGGGGAACAGCTAGTTTCAAATAAATATGGCTTTCTACAGATGGCGCTATTGGTAACACCAAGCGTAATATACCCAGATCGACAACGGGCAGCATCGTCAAAGACATAGATAAGTTAATCACAAGATAAAAAGTCAATGATATGAAATGTCAGGTACTACAACGGTCAATCCACCTTTATACTTAACTAGAGATCCGCCCTGGTTTCGTACGGTTGATTTCTGAATTTCAGAGTTTTATCCGAACCAATAGTAAAAGCATAAATAACTTTCAACAAGTATTATTGTAACCTACATTGAATAAAGATTACTCTATTATATTCTAATTATAAAAAACATTTAATGTTTATGCAATAATTGAATGTATTGATTACAAATTTAAAAAAATTAAAAATATTATATATTATGTTACATAAATAAATGTAAATTAAAAACATGCTTATGGCTGTTATTTTGCGTACTGCTTCGTTCTACAAAACATTACTTATTCACAAACCATGTCATGTAGTGAGTGTAACCGGATTTATCCGGTGCTAGCGATATAAAGGTTAAAGTCACACATCATAATAACATCATATTATGATGTGTGACTGAAAACACAAGATAAACACAACATAATCGTAGAATGATGCATGTATATTCATTTAGTGCAATCTTAATACAGCTTAGTGTTTAGTTTTATAGGCAAGCAAGCACTGAATATGTGTCGCTTAGATTCCTAATTAAAATAGATCAATAAGTTCTTCGTGATGCGCCAAGCATTCACCATATATTTGCCATAGTTGCCCATCTCCTAGTTAGGTTCTCTCTATTGCCTCTTACGAAACCCACGGAACAATATGGGGTAGTGGATATTCTTACACTGCCACGGCTTTGGCAAATACCCCCCCCCCTCCTCTTATGAGGCAATCTATGGCGGAGGCATATGTACAGCAGTGGACTTTTAATAAGCCTTAAATGTTTAACGTTAGTGTTACGCATGTTTATTGAAGGTTTCTTAAAATGTCTTTACTTTTATTGCGGCTCTATGGCATTCGTGTATCGAAAATGTGTAAATAAAAAAACCTGACAGCGACGTGGTGGTCCAAACAATATCAATATCTGCCATGTGTTGCAATATGTGCAGGTGACTGTTAATATAGACTAAGAATAAAAATGGACCAAGGATCGACCCTTGAGGAACTCCCGTTCGCACCACTGGGAACGAAGACTGTGTCATTTATACTAAATATCTGTTCATGATTAGAGAGGAAAAATGTAATATACACCATTTCATTAGCAACAAAAATTAACTACCCGATTATAATGTTCTGAAAACCGAATTTCGGTCACTGCGGCCAATCTCAACATAGACTAACTATTTTATTTACTTTTTTTTTAAAACGGACTGTAACCTTACACTAGGATTTTCTCCTATATCCTGGGTGTTTACATACATAAATTCCACAAAGACAAACATCAAGACCCGGAACAATTACTTGTAATCCATACAGATACATGTTCCGTGCGGGATTCGACCACACGACCTTCAGCGCCGTAAGTCAATGCTAAGCCACTGTGTCACGGAACCGTAAAATCTGCGCAGGACAGGATTATAGTGCACAAGTGTATGCGCAAGCACAGGTGCACTCTCTATTCCATCACTCGCATAATCCGATGGGACGGTACACCTACATAACCGGAGAGAGAGCATGTGCTATACGTGCTTTCAGAGGCACGGGGGTGAAACAATGCCAATCTCCCGCTCCGGGCAGCCACTGAAAATTTCTTGACAGAAAACCCCATAACTGTTTTGGTCCGACCCGGGAAAGGAACGTGTGACCTCAAAATCAGCAACCTCGTTTATGACCAGACCATCGAGGTAGTCAAGTACAAACAGACAGACATAGTTAACTGACAAGTTACAACTGTGGTCACCAGTGAAAGTATAGAAAATCCACTCGTTACAAACACAAAAACAACTACGCCTTTTCCGCATTGAACATCGTTAACAAAAAATTCAACTATGAAACCAAATGTATAAAAAACGGTTAGCATAAAAAATAAAATGTCAATCAAGGTAGCCGAATTACGGTTAAGTAACAATGAAATATTTTTTGTGTGTGTTTTTAACAAATCTAGTAAATAGTTTCATCGGGTTCAAGGCTAGGAGAACGTAAGTCACAGATGAAAATAGAGGAAAAAAGAAAATATTATATACTAGCTGTGCCCTGCGGTTTCACCCGCGTATATCACGCGTCTACGCCTTGCGACATGCGAACTTCGAGAGAGACACCACGACGGACGGTTTCTAAATTAACAAAGATTTAAAAAGTGAAATATGTTACTAAAATTAAATGGTTAACGTAATTAGTGGTTATGCATGATACAGGTACTGATACGAATAATGTGGCCTAGTTTGCACCGGCGTTACTATTTCACATTTTAACATGAAAAAGTAGTTATTGTGACATAACTGTAATAGTTAAACATATGGTATCGCAGGTTTTTTGTAGATATTGATACCCTCTATACTGCAGACTTACAAGGCAATTCCCTGGCACTTGCAAATTCGTCGACATCTGGACTGCACTATCGACCTCCGGTCTGAGCAGGGGGGTGATGTGGCGGCGCTGTCGTCGCGCCACAAGCGATATACATCGAAGCCTAAATCGCGCTAACAAAGTTCCGAAATTAAAGCAATATATATAGAATAGCTCCGAGCCACCGCTCTGAACGTTGGCCGCTCCCCGGGCAGAACACCTTGCCCGGCGGGAGATCTCCCCATTTCCTTCCACCCGCCACAGATGCATCTCACAATAATTATTTAAACAATGTGACAAAAGGATTTTTTAGAAAAAATATAGGAAAGGAGTTAAATGACTAAAATGACTAATGAATAAATGCTCTGCCATGCCAATCCAAAAGACTGTAAGTCAACTTACAGTGTTTTTGCTCAACAACGCCCAATCAGTTTCTGTAGGTCTGTTTAGTACCCCTGACCAATATTTTTGTCATTTAAACGTATATTTTGCAGGATAGGGCAAGCTAAAAACACTGTATAACGTTCAAATTAAGGTTTAACCATGCTGAAAAACGTTAACAAAGCTTACAGTATTTTGCCGTAACAAACTACGCGCACTGCTGGAGATACAGTGTTTTAAACTGACGCGTATACTCGCACGTTGATATTGTCCCGCCAGCGTAATATGATCTATAAACATGAATGCTATCTCACTCTTTCGCATCGTTATAGAGGCCCCCCGCCTTCTCGGCAAGTTTGAAGACGGTTCAATTTACGTGTGACGCGCAGTGATATTACCGGTGATTATGTTATTTATTGTGTACCTACCCTGTGATCGCCTGTCGTATTTTATTTAATTACCGTGATTTTGTATTAATTGAACGATGAATACGAGTCGAAGTAAAATGCTAGTTAGACTGTCAAAACAAAATATTAAACATTATAATAACACAGACTCAGTTACTGTTGTGTCCAATGTGATAAGTGACTGTCTAGAAAAAGAAAATAGAAACCGCAATAATCACAATGAGTATGAAAATTACCTTCAAGATGATTTAGGATCAAGAAACTTTATAAGTCCTATCATTCCTCTCTTATGTGGATGACCTGTCTTATGCGGATGACACAGCCCTGTTATTCTCAGCTAAATCACGAGATGAGGTTTATAAATACGCTCAGCAAGGCTTTAATATAGTATCTAATTGGCTTATAAATAATCTCCTAAGTTTAAACGCAGATAAAACACAATATATGTTATTTTTAATGAGAAATAATAACATACCTGCTGACCTTAATATTTACGCTCATCATTGTAACTCGTATGACGACGTTGCATGTGCATGTCCCGCTTTAACAAAAACAGACAATATAAAATATCTAGGTATCACGTTTGACACAAATTTAAATTTCTGCAAGCACATCGATTTACTTTGTGCTAGAGTTCGTAAATTAATATA